TGTTCATCGACTCGATGTCTCCTATTCGAATGGATGTTTTCATTCCCGAGCCCTCGAAGCTCTCACCAGAGCTTCGGCTTGCCCTTGATGTTGATGTGGCATTTCATACCACGAGCGCAATGCGCATTTCGCGTCTCGGAATCACTCAACATGTGCTCCGCATCCTGCAACACTGGACAGCTCGGCAGCAGGAGCCTCTGAAAATCTTCAGTAACATACCTTTCGGTTCCAGGATTGTGCTCAGGAACATGCCCATGAACGTTGCTGACGCGGAGGTCACCGTCGCTCCGACTCACTATCTGGAACGCCAACTTCTGTCTGTGGCTTCTCTTGAGAATGCTTGGGGAAGCGACGTTGAGTTACCGCCGACTGTCGATCTTGGTGACGTGGTATACGTCTCACAGCTACACGACAGCGTCTGCCTCGTCAGAATCGGAGGCAAGATATGGATTTTCAAGGCACTTACCAGTTACACCAAGTACCTTTATCACGAGCTAAGGCAGCTGCTCATCATCCCACCACATCCCAACATTGTCTCCCGCCCTGTGCACCTGGTCACAAAGAAATGCAGTTTTGGGAGTAAGGTGGCCGTCGTCGGATTCACTCTCGAGTACCATATTCACGGTAGCTTGCGTGATCTGATCCCCTTTCTCAAGCTTCACAACATGGTGTCTCTGGCCGACGAGACAAAATGGGCTATACAACTAGCATCGGCGTTGGTGCATCTTCGTACAACATCTAGTATCTTCTATCCAGATCTCAGGTTGGACAACATCGTTCTTTCAGCTAGTCGAGATGCCGTTATGGTTGATTTTGAGCAGCGTGGGGTCTGGTGTGAGTTCGCCGCTCCTGAAGTCAATGCTCTGGAGTACGTAAGGCTTCTTGCTATCGATGAAGAAATACCCGCGGAAGTCAGCGAAAAGTATTCGAAACTCTTGACAGAGATGCTTCCGCATTGGGAGGCGATGGGTGAGAGCGAGGAGTACAAGTGGCCATGCAAAGGCTATAATGTCCCATGGGCATGTCTCACACCAAAAGAGCAGGAGGCATGCGAGGTGTATATGCTTGGCCGTGTATTGTGGTGCATCTTTGAAGGGAATAGCGCTCCCCAAAGAGCCGCAGTCTGGCTTTCATATCGATGGGAACCCCTTGTCGAGTTTCCAGGATACACGAAGACTCCTGGAGCCATGCAGAAATTAATCGATCGTTGCACACGCGGAAGGCAGAATGGCCTTAGTAGGCTGATTGTGAGGGAGAGAAACCAGCTCGTGCTCCGAGAGCTCGAGAAAACAGGGCTCTCCACCCCAGATGGGGTGCAGCGGACGGCCAAGGAGTGGTGGTTGAGAGAAATCGATGCATCGGAGACGTGGCTCAGGCGAAGGATCGAAGGTATGAAGAGGGGTGATTGGAAGGAGAACTACTACGACCGGCCTAACCTGAAGGATGTTCTTGCGGACCTTGAGGCCTTTCGCGATGAAAGGGGATTCAAGTTCTGACTTGGGCCTGTGACAGTTAGACAATCCGAACATGTCTCACTCTCCACTCAAAGGCATAGCAGACAGCAAGCGAGTTATTCAACAAGAAGCAACAGAGTTTGATACACTGAATTCACTTTCATAAGTATGGCCTAGTTAGTTTTTATTTTATTTTATGAATCTCCATATTTGGTATTCAGCTTGTAAAGCTATCCGTGTCAATAAATGATGCTTATTTTCGATGCACATTGTCACCAGTCGCCAAAGTCTCCGTGCCTCATCTGGTTCTCCTTGTCTTGCGGCGACTCGTTTGCCCCTGGACTGATCTCTTCAAACCAGATCCAGTACTCGATGTTCTCAGTCTTCTCAGCATTGCCCTAAATCGCTGCACGTAACCAGCTGGCGCTCCATAAATCTCTATCTTGCCGAGAAGTTCCTCGAGGTTATGTAGGAACTGGCTCGCAGCTTCGGGGATCAGATTAAGGACGTTAAGAATGAAGTCTTGATCTCGATCACCAATCAGCCGCAGGTAGAGGTTTCGGTCGATGCGTGGTGCATCTATTGGACCATGGTCTGTATTGCGAGATACCACCAAATCCAGAATGTGCACGAAGCTGCGAGCTGCTGATAAGGCTTCCCTTGCTGAAATAGGGCTTTCGCGGGTATAAATATCGTGGCGCATCCGGCGAACGCAACCTAGAATATGTGAAGCTGCCCATGTAACATCTCGGGGGGGATCAGGATCTGAAGTTTGGCCTGGGGTGTCGAGATCTCGAACAACGCGGTCAATGCGCTGAGTAAGTTTGTAGAATACGTCCTTTATAGAGTCTTGTGGGCGAGATAGAGAGCGGAAATAGTGAAAGAAGTGATGGTTATCTAGAAGCATACGGGACACGGTTTGTTCCAGGTCGTTTCGTCTGATGATCTTCCTGCTATGAGAACCCTTCTCAAAGATATCTGGTCGGAAGTCCCCTGGGTCCATGTTATAGACAGATGAAAGCATTTCTCGAACTTCCTGGGCGCGGAAAGCGTCAGGCTCGTTGTTGTATTCCGAGTCCGGGGTGACGAGGTGGCAGTGAAGTCCCTCAGCCAGGACATCGAGACGAAAATTAGATATATTTTGGAAAACGTCGCCCATCTCCTCAGCATAGCCTTCTGGGCTCATCCTGAGAGGCTTGCTGAGATCAGTTTCGTACAGAGTTTGCTTGACGATCTGATCTAATAGCCAAAGGAGGTGCTGGCAAGGCTGCCCATCATCTCGGCATGAGCAGCTGAGGTTGGAAGTGCCGTCTTGTGGCGCGCGAATCCGCACAGAGCGCGTGACAAGCTCTGTCATTTGGAACGCATATGTATCGTCTATGCGACGGCACTTTTCTAGGGCGATCTTTGGGGGCTCTTTGAAGGTATCGCGGACGATTGACTGTGTCTCTTCAGGGAGGTGGTCGATGAGATATGTGAGTTTGGTTGGGGATCGGATAGCAGAAGGCTCATCATCGTCGTCGTCGAATTCTGAACTGTAATATACATAGCTAGAGCTGTCTGAGCTTGTATCAGAGTCAGAAGATGATTCATCGTGGTGAGATTGCTCGGTTGTCCGGCCTGGGGATTGAGCCCTGGCGCGAGAGCGGGTTTCTGGAGACATGCTCTTAAGAGATAGTCGACTTAAACGAGAAGAAGGAGGATACATCGGCTTAGAAAAAGGTACAGTGCCGTGATAAGGTTTATGAGAATACAGAGTGGTTATTCTATGGCTTTATATCGCATGTCGACCCGACAAGGCTGCTGCTGGCAGCGACTTATATCGAGAGACCCCAGTTGCGGCCATTGGTGGTTGGTTACAAGCCTCATGGCCGGGCTCAAGGACACAAGAGGGGCCCAAGGCATCATTTCCAATATAGAACAGAAATTGTAGCCTTAAGACAGGATCCAATAAATGTAGACCACTGTTGAAAGCTCGCAATAGGTAGAGAGCTAGAGGTTCCAGCTGTGGCTGTGGAGTCCTGGTGGTGCGTTCCATGGCAATGGGTGCAGATAGTGAGATACCCACTCATGATGGAAGGAATGACTCCTTCGGTAGATGAGTGAAGTTGGGGCAGCTGTTGTTGGTAGCTTTGTTGGTTGATGATTGGTTTATATAGGCTTGAGGATGCTTGGATTCTTGACTCAAGTAGATTAAAACGTGCACATGAGGTTGCCACTCATCGAATCAACAGTTATATCACAGATGACTCAACACTCAATACTGTCAAGTCGATAAATCAATTAAAAGTAATCGCATTCAATACCACCTCAAACTAATACCTACGTCGAAATCGACGTTGGTTTACTTTATTCAAAGCCTCCCACACTCAGCCACGAGCCTACTGCCTGGCGGCTAAAGAACCACTCAGCTCTCCACGGCTGATATCGCGACCTCATCGACGGCCCAGCTGGTGAATCGGTAGACTTGCAAGTTATCCGCAGCTCAGGCCAAGCCCGATGCGACCGGAGAAGCCTACTGTTTGCAAAGCCAACCGTCTGTCCGGCAAGGCATTTTTCAATTAATAGCTCGAGAGCTGGCATATAGCTTGCCCACGGGTTACTGACCAGATTGTTAGGCAGCTGAGTGACCAATGGGACATGCTAATTATGAGATCATCTACCATGGATCACGCTCAGTGAGCAATGTCCAGGCAGAGTTAAGTTTCATCTCTCGAGCTACTTCGCATGTCACAGACCTGGCAAGATTCTTCACAGGGCCCAGTCCTTGCGCAGGGAACCTTCAATCTTGAAGGATGCCCTAAGCCGAGACGCTTTGAGAAGGACTGGTTCTCTCATTATCAAAACAAACTGACTTCAATCTAGTTTACTGGTGTTTATCCGTTTCTTTCCCCTTGCTGATCTCAAATTTCATAAAATGCGCGACGTGAAACCCCCCAGCGGGAGAGGTGGAGAGTCGAGGCCATTTCTACGTCACACATCTGTATGGTCGCGAGTCCATCAGGCAGATCATAACTGTGAACGAGGGGGTGTTGGCTTCTCATGGCCAAGGCTTCCAGGTCGAATAAAAATAAAAAGAACAAAGAGACGCGAAATGCAACAACATCATCAAGGCCTTTCCTATCCCAGGCCATGCTTAAAAGAGCAGTTTGTGACTGGTCGTATCGCCACTTGCTGAATCAACCTTGAATTTCCCCAGTGCACCTAATTCCCAGAACCGTAAAGGAGAGGTGTTTGCGTGTCAAGCGAAGTCCGAACCAATAGTAAAACCACCTCAGAGGTGATGCGTATTTGGGCTCATGTTACAGAGTCCCTCCAACAAGCGATCAAGATGCATCATGCACAGGTTAGTGCAGGTCGAAGTCCATCATCAAAACGGACGACTCGGGAGGATGCGCGGCTCTTGGCGGTTGCTTTGGTTGGGGTCCTGCCTTTTCGGAGGATCGTCTTCGGATCCGGCGAAGGAAATTTGGGAGAAGACGAAGACCGGCCTGCAGACGAGGATTTCGAGTTCCTAGGCAGGCTATCCGCAGACCGGTCGGATTGTCAATCGATGCCATGCTGTTGCTTGAGCTGAGCTAAAGATTCCCGGCGGGCTTCGAGGTCCTCTTTTGACTTGGCCATCTTGTCGGGCTGGTGGTATAGAACTGTGATTTGGTCAGTATTCAATTGCCCCTGTGCATACGCCCAACGCAGTCATTGAAAAATGAATCATTGAGACGCAAGGGTGACGAGGCGGACGCACCAACGAGGTATCGGTTTTGGAAATTGAAGCCGTTGAGCTTGTCGCAGGCTTGCTTGGCGTCGGCTACGTCTTCATAGACAACGAAGGCAGTACCCTTGGTGTTGTTGGCGATACCCTGTCGAACCTGGCTACAATGACTGTCAGTATTACATCGCAAAGCGCACATCCTCGGGGTGACAACAATGTTGTCTTCAATGACAATTGTCGCGTGTCGAGTAACAGGGTCTGTGCATACCGAATTGGGCCAAATTTTCCGAAGAGGTCGAACAACTCTTCCGGAGTGACGTTGTAACTATGAGTCGACATCGATTAGTCGTTATTCGGGCACGAGGTTATCATCGCAGTTCATATCATACCTCAAGTTCTTTACGAACAGAGCTCTGGAAATCAGTTAGCGAATGTCAGACAATGCAAGTAGGTACGTATCGCAGAGGTCGATCGAGGTCGAGAATGCGATGTGATGAATGAGGCGCAAGAATTCGAACGATGATTTTTGGTTCTGTGCCAGACACAACAGGCGGGAGCAGCGACTTACCGATTGACTTCTGGGGCTAATTTACCGCCGCGACTACTCATCTCTTGGATGATGGTATGATGGTGATGATACAAGTTCTGTAGGAACGGAAAGGGCGCGGTGCTTTAACGGGACGAGAAGAAGGGATTATTTGAGCGGAGCGGAGAATGGGGAGGACGGGCGACGGAAGGCAAGATCTATGCACGTGACCTACTAATCGGGCGACAAGCACGGGCGGAGCGGCTTTTGACGAATCACGAACGTTTAGCGTGAGCGACCTCGTCACTTGATACTAGGGAACTCTAAAGGTGAGCAGAGATATGATAATGGGAAGACATATGGTATATCTCTGTTGTTCCTGTCAAACAACTACTTCTTATGTTTCCTTTCTCACCTTTTCCACAACTGTCTGTCCATGCAAATTGCTCCGACATTCGTCACGCGACCCTACCAGATGCCATTATCAAGTCACCGCATCTATCCATACTCACTCACGTCAGGCTAGATGAGTGACCTGTCGCTACTTGAGGCTTACCGAGACAGCGTCGTTGGCATGCGGCCAAGGCAGATAAGGCAAGGTACCTTGCAAGTGCACCGCGACATGGAGTTGCGTACCCGCTGATAGAGAATTGGGCGGCACTTCTAAGCCGAGGTGCAGCCAAATTAAGGCCTGCAATGTCTGGCTACTAGCGCCCTTGCGTGCTCAGGTATCACTGTGCCTGTGAGTAGCCCGGTCACCTGGACACGTGGAGGACTTGTTTTCAGGGATCCTTGATCAATCAACAACCAACCTCAGTCCATAAGTCGGTCCAGGTTAGCTCTCGGTCCAAAGACTACCGCAACGTGTTCGCCAGCCGAACCAAAAGCTTGATTAGCTAATTGAGAGAGAGCAACTTGTTCAGCTCATCAGCATTTTATCCTCTCGTACTCCGTGTATACTAAGTTTATCGTCTATCAGGGATATAGAAAATATTTATCATCTAAATCTCGGTTGCTCAAACATAAGAAATGACTATCACCATGGGGCGCCTTTTACGATTCTCCACTAGCAAATGTGGTTCACTTCCTCACTATTGGTCAGCACTGTTCGATAGAGCATACATAGTATGATGTCAAAGGTATCATTGTGATAAAAGACGAACGAGTACGCAAGAGTTCGAAAGCAACAACAGCCTGAGAGCTGCCCAGGACTACCTATACTGTACGGAAGGGAGAAGACTATTACTACGGAGGCGGATCAACCTCTTTCATTCACATGAAGTGCCTAGTACTGGCTCAGGTTACTTCATCACCAACTTAACTCAGCCCGGCCAGCTTCATTCTTCATTCACTTCACTTGACTTCACCTCCCATCCGCTCTCTCTCACAAGATAATTTATTTGAATAAAACATTTTAAATGTATTATTCGGTGTTTAAGCTATTGGTTTATCCCCCAAAACTAGCTCTCATCTAAGAAAGGCTCTGTTCTCGCCTTCTCACAGCGGTTGAGCTGCTCCAACACCTCTCTATCTTGCACACAAAGAGTTGATCGACATGAACGGCTCCACAACGCCTCGTTTCGGCTATGATGTCCTCTCCGTATTCGACGTTCCTTCAAACGCCCGAGATTTCCTTGCCGACGTCATCGAGTCCCATCAAGCACCAGAAGAGACCGAAGAGCTCTTCCAAGAGAGCCTGCTAGCACACGCTGCAGACTGGCATTATCTGATCGAATGTGCCAAGTCCATGCGAAGAGCTCGCCCAGGAGATAGAAGCAGCTTGCAAGCGCAAGACGTCCTTGCCGACGTATGGTACATGCTGAGCGGGCAGGATCCTCCACCTGGTGAGGAGCCATGGGAATTAACCGACAGGCTTATTGCTCGGGCTAAACAGCTTGAGGTTGACCCGGAAATCCGACCACCACATATCACCGAGCAAATCGAAAATCACCGACCACAGTGGCTTGGATCAAATGGTTTTCTAAAGACAACGACATGTCTCACAACATCCCCTTATTGGTCGGACCAGCCCCATGGGAGGCGCCCAGAAGGGAGTAAAAACCTTGCGAAGCGGAAAGATCGAGCATGGCTCCCTCTAGCTTCTTCACAAGCACGCGTCTCTGCAATACTACACTCACAAACACCCGACAATGAGACTCATCAAACTCTGAGTGTTGATAAGCGTGCTGGTGGGCAGGGTTCCCCGCAAGGAGGCGCTCTGTGCGACATGACATTGATTGTCAAGCCTCAAAGTTCAATTTCGCCATACTTTGTAGCCACTTCAGCATCGGATGAGGCTGATCAAGTCATTGCACTGGCACGAAAGCGACCGCCGCGGGGAACTGTTCCTTCGGTTCCCTTCGCGCCTCTCACATCACAGGAGTTTGGTCTTATCCAAGAAAAGTTTGCCCACGAACCATTCTGGCTCCTCATTGTGGTGACGTTCCTGATTCGGACAAAGGGCACGCAAGCAATCCCTACATTTTACAACGTAAAAGAACGATTTCCTACGCCAACGCACATTGCAAGCGAAGAAAACACCGAATCGCTAGTCGAGATGATACGCCATCTCGGCCTTGCGGAGCACCGTGTAAGTTTGATGAAGAAGTATGCCCGGGGCTTCTTGGACCAGCCTCCAGTTGCTGGCATCTATCACAAGGTGAAGAAGTATGATCACAGGGACATCGACCCACAGAGTCTGTACCAACATGAAGGCAGTAGTGCACTGTTGGTGGACAAAGACTCATGTGGGCAAGATCTTTTAGAGGCCTGGGAGATTGGACATCTTACACAAGGCAAGTATGCTCTAGACAGCTGGCGCATCTTCTGTCGGGATGAGCTACTTGGACGAGCGACGGGCTGGAACGGCGAGGACAGAGATCCTAAACTCCAGCCTGAATGGATGAGGGTTCGTCCAGATGATAAAGAATTAAGGGCATATTTGAGATGGATGTGGATGAAAGAGGGCTGGGAATGGAACCCAGACACAGGTGAGCGTACAGTTCTGTGTGAAGAGTTGCGAAATGCTGTCAATCAAGGGAGAGTTGTGTATGATGAGAGAGGCGGGTTGAAGATTCACAGTCTGGCCTATTCAGCAAATGCTTTGGCATTAGGGGAGGAAGAGTTGATGGCTGAGAGCTAGACAAAAGCCATTGTTGACTCACTTAGTTGACTGATCAACCTTGGCCCTGTTGTGTTGGTTACTCATACGAGTATATAGTACTCTGTAAGGTGTCAGGTAGTTGTTGAGTAGGCAAACACCACCAAAGTAACCGGATTCAAAGACGAAAAAGTTCATCCACCTACCTACCACAGCCCGTATTCAGGTATTTTGACTACCAACTACGGAGTACTAGTTGTCGAGTCTGTCTGTTTGGTCTTCCGTGGTACCCATATCGTGATACGCCACAGAGGTAGGTAGCATCTATTTGGGGGATGTTTCCATTCTTGGACCATTTAGCTCCCGGCTCTAACCAAAGTGGTGATGGGGACATTGGGGAGTGGCTGGGTCCCTTGCTAAGCCTAAGCCTAAGGCAAGGCACTGTCTAGCTGCCCTTCCTGACCTGTATGCATACGAGAGAACAACCTGGAAGACGAGGGGGAGGTCCGAGAGCACCTGCAGAGTTAGGTAGTCGGTACCTTTGATTTCCCCTCTGTTCGGCAGTAGCTCCAAGTCATGCAAGGTCTCAATTGAAGCACAAATAGAAGGGAAGGGAAGGGAGCTTAAAAGTGGGACGACAATAGGCTCCATCACGGGATCTCTAAAGGACACCGTTGTACAATCAGACCCGACCCTAATCTAAACCAATCCGATACTACTCTTTTTCTCTATTCGACTCGTCTCGTCTGAGCTGAGGTCATCGCCTGCAATTGAATCACAAAGGACAGCTTGCCTCGTCTCGTTCCTGTTGTCTTGCCTCTCCTTGCCCTCTTTCTCACTCTTTTTTTACTTTACGTACCTAAACTTTGTTTGTAGAGCCTCTCGAACAAACTAAACTCCCCCAATTGGAATTCGTCTGCCATTGTCTCTGGTCGAGTTCTAACGCCCTTATTCTGATCCTACCAGGCTTCACCAGCTGCTCCAAGTCTCCTTCTCTTCTGCTTCACGACGACCACCGACTTCCAGTCCTGGGAAGCATCGCCCTGTTTCGTCCCGCCCGTCAGCAGGTCTGCACGTGAAACAAGCTTCCACCCGACACGAACCTCTACATAAAGCAATGTCCCAGCGATTCAACTCAGGCTACGGCCTCGGCGGCCCCGCGCCTTACGGCGGCTCCCAGGCTGCTGAGCCTCAGCAGGGCGAGGGCTTTCTTGAGCAGATTCGTCCCTACACTAGCAAGATTGAGGATGCGCTCGACACAATCAGCGAGCCGATCAAGCCGTGAGTCGAGCGACGTCCTTTATAAATGCCTTTGGAGCTCCGAGAGCTGACCACTTTGCCCTCTTTGATAGCTACCTTCCTGCCATTGGCCGTTTCCTAATCGTCGTCACTTTCTTCGAAGATGCCCTTCGCATCGTCACCCAATGGTCCGATCAGCTGCTTTACCTGAAGGACTATCGCCATAGTAAGATGCGCATTGCGTTTCTGATCCCAGATGACACCGTTGGCAGTACTGACACATGACAGTTCCTTCCGGTATCACGCATCTCTTCCTACTCGTCAACATTATCGCCATGTTCTCTTGCTCTACTCTGGTCATCATTCGAAAGCATTCCGACTATGCCGTCGCCGGTCTTATGGGCGTCGTTGTCACACAGGCTCTAGGATATGGTCTCATTTTCGACCTCAACTTCTTCCTCCGAAACCTTTCTGTCATTGGTGGCCTTGTCATGGTCCTGTCAGACTCTTGGGTTCGCAAGACGCAGGTCTTTGCAGGTCTTCCCCAGATCGATGAGAAGGACCGCAAAATGTACTTCCAGCTCGCTGGCCGCGTTCTGCTCATCTTCCTCTTCATCGGATTTGTCTTCAGTGGAGAATGGTCTCTCTGGCGTGTCATTGTCTCCTCGCTCGGAGGAATTTCCTGCGTCATGGTCGTTGTTGGCTTCAAAGCCAAGTACAGTGCCACTCTTCTTGTTGTCATCC